ATTGAGGAAGAAACTTTGCAGAGAGTTTCAAGAAGAAACTTTGCGTAGAGTTTCAAGAAGAAACTTTGCGTAGAGTTTCAAGAAGAAACTTTGCGTAGAGTTTCAAGAAGAAACTTTGCGGAGAGTTTCAAGAAGAAACTTTGCGGAGAGTTTCAAGAAGAAACTTTGCGGAGAGTTTCAAGAAGAAACTTTGCGTAGAGTTTCAAGAAGAAACTTTGCGGAGAGTTTCAAGAAGAAACTTTGCGGAGAGTTTCAAGAAGAAACTTTGCGGAGAGTTTCAAGAAGAAACTTTGCGGAAAGTTCCTGCTTCAATTTCTTTGCAGGTTGTCAGAATATCTTCCCAGAGCTGCTGTTTGATATGAACTGCATCCCACCCTCTGATCTTCTGCTTGATGAAACTCCAAAGGTTCTCAATAGGGTTGAGGTCAGAGGTCAGAGGAGGATGGTGATCACACCATGAGTTCCTCCCCTTTTATGCCCATCACAGCCAATGACACACTGGTATTCCTTGCAGGATTCATTGTCATGCATGAAGATGGTTTTGCTACTGAAGCTATGGCTCTTCTTTTTGAACGATGAAAGAAAGTGATCAATCAGAAAGTCCATATGCTTTGCTGAGGTCATTTTCACACTTACAGGGACTCTGAGGGGGCTGACCAGCTCTCTCTCTCTCCCCATGATTTGGACCCAAAGCATGACTCCACCACCTCCTTGCTAACGTCACAGCTGTGTTGGGACGTGGTGGCCGTCCACCACCAATCCACTACTGCACCCATTTGGACCATCCAGGGTTGCACAGCAGTCATCAGTGAACAAGTCTGTTGGAAAATTAATCTTCATGTACAACCGGGCCCACTGCGACTGTTTCTGCTTGTGTGCTTGTTAGAGGGGCTGAATAGCAGGTTGATGCACCACAAGCCTCTGGAGGATCCTCCACCTTGAGGTTCCAGAGGCAGCAGCAGCTTCAAATAACTGTTTGCTGCTTTGTAAGGACATTTTAACAGCTGCTCTCTTAATCCCATGAATTTGTCTATCAGAAACCTTCTTCATTATGTCTTTATCTGCACAAACTCATCTTTGTTCTGAATCAGCCACAAATCTTTTCACAGTACGATAACGCTGTGGCCTGCTTAATAATGTGGAACATCCTTCTTAAGTAGATTTCCTTTAATTGAGCTCACCAAACTAATCAACTGAAATTAATTATAGTGATTCAAAGAGCCCTGACACACAATACCCGTTACTTAAAGAGCGGGAGCTCTTAAAGTAACACGGTTTTATTTTTTCTTCTGTGGTATTGTCTTTAAAATGTTTGCGTCCCTTAGGCCATCCTTTTAAAGATAAACCATGCTATGGCCTGATCAATTAAAACCAGCACAACACAGAAAGAATCATCACGCTGGCATGTGATGATATGCTGAAAGGGGGTATCGAAAAGTGTAGGAGGTTCTTAAAGAGACAGGGCATAATATGTGAAGTCATATTTTTTTAAGATGTGTTTGGTACAGCATTTTCATAACTGAAAGTAGCACAGCTACTTGACTCTGGTACAAAATAGGACTGTATTTCTGGAAAATACATATTTCAGATAATATACATATTATGTATTTTTGACCTAAAACCCTCTATTTTAGCTCTGTCTTTATAACAGCATGTGTTATTTCCATCACACATGATGTTTGGCAAGTTTGGCCTCATCTGACCAGATCATCTATTTCCCATGTTTTTGCAGGGTCCTCTGTAAAGTTTGTGGCAAACCGGGCTGTAAATTGTCCCCCCCCAACAATAGCTTTTTCATTAACCACATTTGAAGAATGTGCAAGAAATATTTGTCCTGCTGTCAGATTCTCCCACCTGAGCTGGCTTCTCTGATTAATGCTCTGACCTGTCAGTTAAAGTAGATGGTTATATCTGGGGAGGTTAGAAGTTGTGCCGTGTTCTTTCCTTTTCACATAATTGTTTTCTAACAAATATCTGAGGCCTTAATAGATCATCTCTATTTATCCATCCTGCAGTCTTAAGAGACAAGACTGCAGGACTGTACAAATGTTTTACTCTGTGCGCAGTTCAGCATGATCACCCTGACCCTAAGTGTACTTTGTATTTTTTTAAGGTTTTTTTGTGTATGGCTTTGGGCACTGACAGTCTGACTGCCAGTTCCCAAAGGTCAGTTCCCAGGGAAAGCGAGACAAACTTCCCCTATGTTTAACTGTGACATTTGCAGCACTCCTGCTGAGCATCACACTCAGGAGGACCCTACCTGGGAAGGGTTGACTGAAGAGTCCATTTTTCTGTAGTTTAGTAAATTTACTACATGCCTTCAGAAGTCAGTAAATAGATAAGAGCACAAAGGTCTGAATATGCACATCACCATTGTTCACTACCTCATGTCTCAGAAGACTTCTGCAACATGAAATTCCAATCAAGGATTGTGGTTGGAACCTGACTACATTTGTTATGAACTACAAACAGCTCTGCTTTTGGTTGTAAACATAAAGTTATTTTACACGTAAATTATATAGTACAAAATGGATGTGTAAATAAGAAAAGATTCTCAGTGCAAATACACAGATATATTAATTAAGACAATTAATATTGTCTTTATTGGTACTACTGGAAACCCGCCCACCTGCCCTCTGAGATCTTTTGACTTTGAATGTTAACTTGCTAATTTAGATTCTCTTGAACCTCTCTAAGACTCTGTGGGCAAGTGGAGACATGCCTTTAATATAAATCAGTATGCAAAGGATAAAGCAGTTGTGGAGTTCCTGTTTGGTCATTGCTTCAATTGGACTAGACAGCTATAAATTGTGATATACGCTTAAAAAATTACACTGAATTAATTCTTACTGTGAAAAGAGGGCATTTTTAAAGCTTCTGCTTTAGGCAGGTGGATGTAATTGAAAGATGGACAGAAAAAGGAACATGCACTCACACAAGCAGGGAAGTGTCATTGCTGGGGTTGAGGCTCAGACTATTGTGGATGTTCTCCTGGGAAATCACACAAAATAAAATTAGACCTGAGGAATTCAGTGCACCTGTCAGTGTGTATGGGCTGACTCACGTTATTTGTGTCTCTCATCTCCTCTTCCTCTCTCTCTTTCCATCTGTTCTGGATACTACAGGGCTGCAATGTTTCAACTTGCATGTGGATCCATCAGCAGGCCATAATTAAGCTATGGGTGCTGATAATAACTTTAGCTGTGCTCCACATTGTTTTGCTCACACCTGCAATTATGAAGAAACATGTATCACTAACATTAACCCTAACATTGATTAATGCCTGGTTTTAAAATTAATTGACTGGACTAGTAGCCATTATTTTGCACCCATTGTACAAAATGGGTTTCCTCACAGCACAATCAAACCTGTTAAACGATTGAACCTGTTATACCAACAATTATCTGTTGGCCAGTGTGTGGTCTCAGGTTTTGAAGATGGGCCTATGATCAGCTGACAACTCTAAGATGGTGTAGTGTGCGCTAGGCATTACAGTAAGGAAATGAGGAAAGTAGGGGTCAGTGGAGAGCACCGGAGTTGAGCCCTTTTTCATCCAATGTCATTAATAGAAAGAGAAAAAGGCAGGAAGAAACGAAAAAGCCGATAAATAAAAATGAGGTAAATAATTTTTATTTATAGTCTGATTAATTGATTTATTGTTTATAGCGACAGGCCTACAAATTAATCATATTCCAGTGCTGTGACTAATCATGATTTTTGCTTATGCCAAACTTTCTAGGCTTAATATATAAACATCCATGCAGTTGTGGATCTTACAGGAAGACAGAGAGGCAGCAAGTGGGCATTAAGTCCGACTGTTAACTGTATCAGACAATCGCGCCGTGTCATCCTCTTCTTCCAACTAGAAACTGAAATTGGGCTCATGCAATGCCTTCTGGAAAAAGAACTTCTTATGGCAGTCTTTGTTCCTTGTGTGTTCCTTGTATACAAAATCAGCAGGCCATAAAGTGTTTATTTCCCCTTCTGATAACTTTGGAGGTATTTAAAAAAGAAAAAAAAAAAGTACTGCTTAACAAAGCTAATGAAATTTGTTTCAGCACACACAAATGACGTTTATGCTTTCTTAGGACACTGTGTAAAGCCGTGGTATGTATCTACTAACAATGTTTTGTTGAAACTCACCATGTTGTGACAATATAATGTCAGACAGATAATTTGTGAATAAGCACAGTGAATAATTATATTAAATATATGAGACCTGCAGAGGGTTTCTCAAAGGGCTCTTGAGTGTGAGCGAACAGCATTCACTGTGTGCATGTGAGTATAAAAGATAGACATCTCAATTTAATATAGCTTCATTCTCCCTTCGGTCATATCGATTTTATTTCAGTGAGGCTGTTCAGTTAGAATTTTGAAGCAGTATGCCATCCAGTTACACACTCAAAACACAAGTAGCATCAGTAAAAACATCCCACCGTTCTTGCCTTGAGCGTTCACAGTCTTTCCCCCATCAGAATCATTCTTTCTATTATGCTTCCACGAAACAGCAACATAAAGTCAGCTTGCATATTTCGTTTTCTTCCTGTGCTCAAAGGAAAACTGTTTCAGATTCTATTTTTAAGGCTGTTTTGTGTGTTTGTATTGCAGTATGTCGCATGCTTGTGGCATATTGGTTCTTGCTTGAACATGGAAAAACAAGATAGATCAGTATAAAGAAGAAAGATACACAAACAATAAGAATAAATGGCCAAAGGGATCCAAAGTTAAACAAAATGAGCCAAATATAAATTTGTGGATTGATTTAAGCTCTCTGAATCCTCGAGCCTATTCCAATGCTTTCAATATTTTCTTCTCCCACTTATGAATTCTGAATCATATTGGCTACAATTACTTTGTCCTTAACAGAGTCTGTGTTTGAGCATTGTTCTTGTCAGAGACCGAGCGATGTTGGAAAGTTGCATGTTTTTCCTATGAGATGTTGTTTTTTTTTTTTTTTTTGCAAATCCATGTTGGTGATATGTTTTGTTTATGCCCTGCAGAGCCATCACTTTGGAAAATCAGCTCGTTGTCCTGGTAACCACTCCAGCAGATGCAGGACATTACCATGTAGAGGCAATGAACGAGATGACAGGAGAGATTGTCACAAGCCCTGCTGTCTACCTCAACATCTCAGGTAAGAAAAAAACTTTTTGAATCTCGATGAGGTGATAGAAAATCAAAAAAGCTTTTTATGTGAACAGTGTGTGAGGCATCAGACTGTAATCAAACCAGCCAGGGTGTTTAAGACCAACAGTGACCTTTTGTGGGACCTAAAAGGGGATATAAGAGACGAGGAAGGTTTTTGTTCTGTCAATTATGCTCATGTACACACTACTCAATGTAGCCACAATTGAGAAGCATTTTTGTTTTTCTGGCTATATTCAACCTTGTATCTTATAATAGTTATTTCATAATTAACTATGTCCGAAATTGAGATCATGTAAAAAAGTCTCAAAGAAAGAAAACAAGCTCAACGCAGCCAAGCGCCGAATTTATAGCTAGTGAAGAGTGATGCTGTTTCAACACAAGAGTTCCAATGAAAGCATTGGAACACTAGAAAGCAAATGTCTCACTAATGAGACATTTGTGTTCGAGCTCCATCTTTAAAATAATGTTCAAAATAGCAAACATACAAAATAAAATTCACATTAAAAAATAAACAAAAATAATTTATGCAATTAAAATAAATAATGTGAAATAATAATTTAAAAAAAACCCTAAACATTATAAACATCCTTCAAGGCATTAAGGCATGGTCAATGTTTTCAGTGTTCCAATGAAAGCATTGGAACATTAGATGAGTCAAGCTTTTTTGAGTTTAGTAAAAGGAAATTCAAACTGTGTTACATGATAAAAGCATATTACATCAACAAACTTGGTATCCATTCAAATTGTGAAAAACGAAAGATTTTCTTGAAAGAAATGTTGGCAATCGGTTCGCTCGACTTAGGAATCTCAACTGTCTGTGAACAGTGCATACAGAATCCACGCAGCTCAAAAAAAAATAAAATAAAATTTCACATGCTCATTAGTATTCAGACACCTTTCTGTGTCTCTCATATTTAACTTCCATGCTGTCCACTTCTTCTGATGCTCCTTGTGAGTATCTTTGGAATCCAGCCGTTTTTAATTAAACTGATTGAACTTGATTAGAAAAGACACACCTTTCTATGTAAGGCCTCCTGGTTCATGTTAGAGAAAATGAAAATCATGAGTTGGAAGGAAGTGCCCAAGGAGGTCAGAGATGGAATTACAACGAGGCACAGATCTGGCCAGGGTTACAAAAGAATTTCTGCAGCACTTGAGATTCCTAGATGAGTCAAGCTTTTTTGACTCATCTGGAGTGACCTCCATTATCGTTGCACGGAAGAACTTTGGGATGACCAGAACTCTTCCTAGATCTGGTCATCCAGCCAAACTGAGCTGATGGGATGGGAAAGCTCCACAAAGACAACTATCACTGCTATCACACCAGTCGAGGCTTTATGGCAGAGTGGCCCGATTGAAGCATCTCCTCAGTGCCAGACAAATGAAAGCTCCCATAGAATAGAATAGAATTCAACTTTGTCATTTCACTGTCACATGTACAAAGCAACGAAATGTAGTTTGTATCTATCCAGAAGTGCTATACAGGATAGGGTTAGGGTCATACAGAGAATAATATTGACATGCTATAAATAAAATGTTTTGTACAAATATAAATATAAATATGAGAGCTATGAACATATTATACAAATTACACAGATTATACGGAATATGAAGAATGGATTGTGTGTATATATATATAATACAAGATAAATAATGGCAAATTTGATTTACAGATTATATAAAGATTGTATACAGATCATGTATGTGTGTGAGGGGAACTGTCTGGGGTTAGGGGGGTACAGTCCTTATAGTTTGTGTCAGGAGGCGTTCAGGAGCGTGACAGCTGTGGGGAAGAAGCTGTTCCGGGGCCTGGTGGTTCTGGTCCGTAGGTTTCTGTAACGCCTCCCAGAGGGCAGGAGAGAGAAGAGTATGTGTGCAGGGTGAGCGAGCTTTGGTAGTTTTCTGAGCTTTTGATTGTTTTGATTCTTAAAGCTGTGTTTTTTACATTTTTGTTAAAACTGTCTGAGGCGGTGCAGCAGCTGCCCATCGTGTTTTTGTTTAAAAACATTGACAGTATATGTAGAAATATTACTATGTATATATATATATATATATATATATATATATATATATATATATATATATATATATATATATATATATATATATATATATATATATATATATCTAGCTGACTGGATAGCTCAATACATAAGGCATCAGTATATCACCCGAGAGGGCAGAGTTCGAATCCAGTCTGGGTCCTTAGGCAAGACCCTTCAAGCTACTGCCTACCTCATACCATGAGAGATACTAAGTTACATAACATGCCGGCTCAGACGTCGCCCGGCCAAACAAGGTCTGCGTCAGGTGTTGGGGAACCAGAGCACCTTGATGACAAATGGGCTACTGGAACAAGACGGAAATGGGCGAGAGATGAAAACGTGGATCTGTTGGAATGCTACTACTCAAGTAACCCTAGTCAGAGGGGTTACATGCAAAGACTGGGGAAGGAATGGTTACTTCGGCATCCCCAGTCAACACTAAGCGCTAAACAACTAGTAGCTCAGTGTTCCAACATCCGCAAACGGCAACTGCTATCACAACTTGAGATTGACGAGATACAACACAAATGCTACGGCAAAAGGGAGGAACCCGGATGTCACGACTGTGGGGACTTAACTACAAGTCCCCACCCAGTGAGGGGATACACGGCCCCAATGAGCGAAACAGAGCTGAACGAGACAGCTGCTGACCTGAGAGAGAGAATCATGACCCGAATGACAACCAGGCCTCCTCGGCGCCAATTACAACGGCTGAGTGAAGTACCATCAGAAAGTCTCATTGAGAATGTGAATGCAGCATTGAGAACGATCCCTACCAACACCATAACAGAAACCAATGAGCTGATCTACAACTCAGCATCAGTGATCCTTGAGATACTTGGCTATAAGAGCAACCATGAGACCCAATACCCACCATGGAAAAGACGGTTAGAGGCTAAAATCAAGGTAACAAGGAGGGAAGTGAGCCAACTGTCAGAGCTCCACAAGGGTACAATGAAAAGACCAGTACCCAGAAAGTACAGCCAGATGCCCATACCTGAAGCACTCGAGACTGCCAAACAGAGGCTCCAAGCCTTGGCCAGCCGCCTAAAGAGATACACAAGGGAGAATGAATCCAGAAGGATTAACCGGCTCTTCTCCACTCAACCAGGCAGGGTGGCCTGGTTGGCAGGGTAATAACAACCGAGCAGACCCACCAAGGCTGGAGACTGAACAATACTGGAAAGGCATATGGGAAAGGGAGGCGTCCCACAACAGCAATGCACAGTGGCTGATCTCTCTACGAGAGGACCACAGCAACCTCCCTGAACAAGCCCCGGTAACCATCACTGTGACCAGGGCCTGACATGATCCATGCCTACTGGCTAAAGAAACTCACTGCTCTCCATGAGCGAATGGCAGCCCAAATGAACCAGCTGCTACAAAGTGGGACTCACCCTGAATGGTTAACTGATGTATCCAGAAGGATGCATCAAAGGGTCCAGTCCCACCCAACTACCGACCAATAACCTGCCTCTCCACAACCTGGAAGCTCATGTCAGGCATCATAGCGGCCAAGATAAGCAAACACATGGATAAACACATGAGCACGGCACAGAACGGTATCGGTGTAAATACCAGAGGAGCCAAACACCAACTCCTCATAGACCGCACAGTTGCCCGAGACTGCAAAACCCGACACACCAACCTGTGCATGGCTTGGATCGATTACAAGAAAGCCTATGACTCAATGCCGCATACTTGGATCATTGAATGCCTACAGATGTATAACATCAACAGGATTCTGAGAGCCTTCATTGCAAACTCGATGAAGCTGTGGAAAACCACCCTTGAAGCCAACTGCAAACCACTTGCACAAGTGTCCATCAAATGTGGCATATACCAAGGAGATGCTCTGTCCCCGCTACTGTTCTGCATAGGCCTGAACCCCCTCAGCCAAATTATCAACAAGACTGGCTACGGATACCGACTCAAAAATGGGGCCAACATCAGTCACCTCCTCTACATGGATGACATCAAGCTGTATGCCAAGAGTGAGCGAGACATCGACTCACTGATCCACACCACCAGGATCTACAGCACTGACATTGGGATGTCATTTGGACTAGAGAAGTGTGGTCGGCTGATCACAAAGAAGGGGAAGGTGATCCGCACAGAAGGAGTCTCACTCCCACAAGGAACAATAGCAGACATAGAGGACAGTTACAAGTACCTAGGTATACCACAAGCAAATGGCAACCTCGATGAGGCCACAAGGAAAGGAGCCACAGCTAAATACCTCCAACGAATAAGGCAAGTCCTGAGAAGCCAGCTCAATGGCAAGAACAAAATCAGTGCGATAAACAGCTATGCCCTGCCAGTAATCAGATACCCTGCTGGAATAATTAGCTGGCCAAAGGAGGAGATAAAAGCCACTGACTAGAAAGCTACTAACCATGCATGGAGGGTTCCATCCCAAATCCAGCACCCTGAGACTGTACACGAGCCGCAAGGACGGAGGCAGAGGACTAGTGAGTGTGAGAACCACTGTCCAGGACGAAACAACTAAGATCCATAAATACATCAGGGACAAAGCCTCAACAGACAATGTGCTCAGTGAATGTCTCAGACAACAGGGAATGGAGGTTGAGGTGCCAGAGATACCATCATGGGAGGACAAGCCCCTACATGGGATGTACCACCAGCAAATAACCCAAGTGGCTGATATCAGTAAATCCTACCAATGGCTGGAAAAAGCTGGACTCAAGGACAGCACAGAGGCCCTCATCCTGGCCGCCCAGGAACAGGCCCTAAACACCAGAGCAATAGAGGCCCAGATCTACCACACCAGACAAGACCCAAGGTGTAGGTTGTGCAAGGAGGCCCCTGAGACAGTCCAGCACATCACAGCAGGGTGCAAGATACTGGCAGGGAAAGCGTACATGGAGCGACATAACCAAGTGGCAGGCATTGTGTACAGAAACATCTGTGCAGAATATGG